GCCACAAAAGTTTGAGTGAGAAACTTGTTCATATAGGTCTATAGACTACTCCGCCAGAAAATCTCATGATAATAACCATTGTGTGTGGCTCTACAGCCTCAATTTTGGATTGACGATTTTGGTGTTTCGGCGCATTGCGCGAATCCGCGCATTGCGCGCACAGACACGGTACTGATGTGGAATGTTAGTGAGAATCTGGAAAAGCATCTGCAGAAGCTCGATTGGAGGGAGATGGACGAAGCCTTGGCTTATCTTTGGGCACAACAGATCACCCGTGCCGGACACAATGAAGTTCCCCTGAGGCTCGCGAACAACCTTGATCAGGTTACTGGTGATCTGTCTGAGCGTAAGTTACCTTTCCAGCAAAAAGTTTCACTGACTCCATGCTGATGCTAAATACGCTAGTTGACCGTGAAGCTCTTGAAATCGTTGTCAAAGGCATGCGGTGTGCCTTGACGGCATGGGATTCAAAGATTTCTTGCTTGCGTGAACTTTTTGGGAACATGGCAAAGAGTGGGAGGGGAACTACATAAAAGCCATAGTTGGTGGACCTAAAGTGCGGTCGGTCAACCCTAGCTCAACAATTCTTGACTGTAGGTCTAAACCTACAAAGATTTGTCAGACGTGATGATTCTGTTAGCCAGCGGTCCGTTGCTGTGTTTGCCAGCGGTCCGCTGCGCTGACTGTCCAGCTCATTCGGTTAGTTCAGTTTGCTTCCCCATCCCTTCACTGCTATTCCCTTCTACTGTATAGTCCCGATCGATCCTCGCCATAGCTCACAAGATAGATCAATCAACTCAACCATCTCAACCCTTCCACAGATCCACATACAAGAAAGCGTCATGGCTTGGTACAGTATTCACACAGTTTTTAGGTTTCCCCTTGGTTTTCCTCTCTCAACATAAACCCTGTTGTTCCCTTCACCGTTTTGACTCTTTTTGTCGACATCACAAACCCATTCTTGCTCCGTTCACTCTCTCTCCTTCCACTCCGCACCACACCATTCTCCTTCGTTGCCTCCCGCCTGACAGTCAACGCCCTTCCTTTCAGCCTGCTCAGGTAAACCTTCGACGGAGTGAATCAGCGAAACGTAGCAACTTTGGAAGTTCAGCCCATCAGATGCTTTTGGTCCTCAAAAGCTCCCCACCCAAAATTTGACATGCTTCCTTCGTTCGAGACAAAGCCATGCTATGATGGGCGCAGTATTCGCGGACTTGATTTCGATTGGATTGACTATCAGGATGTTGAAGAAGGTTTTAGATGCGGCGTCCAGCATTCCAATACCTGCAAGCTGCAACACGCTACATCTACGGGCTTGATTAGGTCCCATCATAAGCACTTACATGCCGCATACATCATCCAGTCTGGACTTCTTTTTGGTACAGCAAAGCTGAATCTCTTGTATGGCCACTTCCGGTCGCCACTCTGTGTATGTTTTGCACATTGCATCACGATTTACTGTCCTCTTCGAATCATTCTCTTTCTATCATAGACTACTAGCGGCTATTGCTGTACCCGCAACGGCACCACAATCTTAAGCCAGATCTATCAGCCATGTAAGAGCTCGACCCATAGCTTTTACATGCTGCGGCACGAATCATCAGGGCGCGGAGTAGGCACACATAGCAGACGACATATGCATGGCCAATGGTGTTGCAGTAAATGCAATAAGTGAAGGTGTAACCGCGCAGGGCAGTCAGTCAGGGGTAACCGCGCGAAGCAGTAAAAATCTGTATATATTGTTGTGTTCTTGTTCAGTGTTCTGTCTCTCCCACTGGGCCATCAGGGTCTGTTTTGATGACGTATCTGTCGTTCCGACAGAGGTAGAAAGGGCTTGTTGGAAAGGTCAAGAGCACTTCGCTAACACACGTGGCACACATGACCTCTATACTTCATAAACCGTCACAAATGGTCTCTGCCAGAATTTCGAGAGGTTCGATGGGATGAATACGGGTCAGCAGCTGTGGTGGAGTGGGGTCTGTATAGGCCCAACGTGGCAGAGCCTGTATTGTCTGGCAGATGTGTGTATCGGTGCTTACCAAAATGTATGAACCCCTCTAAGTCTGTTACACTAGCCCATGTTTTCTACGTCATGCAGAAGCGAGAGCTCCCGAGTGGCTGTATGTCTTTGGTTCGACAGATGTGACACGCTGGTAGACCTACTGCAGGACATACACGTGGATGATGACCACTCACAAACTTGTCCGTACAGCAAAACCAAGGTTCACATGTACTGTCTGTATCATGGTCCCAAACTCAGGGGGGTCCATACATTTTGGCAACCATTACAATAGGACAGAGGTACTTTTCACCCTCGTAGCAGAGTAGTCTGGAGGGTGTCACTAATACGAAGATACAGTGTTCTGCTGACTTTGCGAAGGTAAGGAACTGCGGTAGGAATTCCCGGTGCTGTGGTGGAGAGAAGACTTATTGTCAGACCTCTGAGAACTCGTTTCAGCTTGCAGAATCCGTCGGCCCAACGTCTTCTGTTTCTTCAGCAACGCTAACATCCACAACGTCCCCTTCGCGTCCTCCACCTCCGCAAACACTCCTGCAGCAACTTCTTCTCAGGATGCGAAAGTCCAAATCACCGAAGCACGATCAGAACAACACCCACTGCAAATGTCACCGCAAGGATTCATGAACAAAAGTATCAGCCGTAGCTGCATGTGTATGAAAGCGGCGGATATGAGCCTGCTGAAATACGGCGTACAGACCCCGCAGGGTTGTGGGGAACAATGCGTCATGGGAAATGGATGGTCGGGGGCAAGTTCCTCGATGAATTATCCAGGTTGCGCAAGGGTACACAAGGCCCCGTTTACTGTATGTAAACCACGCTTATAGAGATTGCGGTCATGGAAAGGGGCCATACGAATATCATGAACAGGAATGCAGTGCTAGACTGCCCCCTTGGAAGTTTGCAGTGCCACTCACAACATGCACCTTGGTGCTTAGATCATGTATCGATAACCCTTCTGCAGCACCCTCGCCGCTGCAATATCGACCCCCTCTGCCTCCGCCGTCTTTCTCAGCTTCTTCATATCCTTCTCCGTCAACTGACTGTCCTCATTCTCCATCCTCGCCATCTGCCTATTCTGCGCCTCGAGGTAGAACTTCATAGTCAAGAAGCACGCCAGACTCAGTACCTGCAGTCCGATACACACCCCCAGAGCGGGTCGATAATGTGGCTTCGAGCTCGGTAAGTAGGTGAATGGCGTCCAGATCGACGCCGAGTTACCGATAGAGTTGATGAAGGCTAGTGCGGCGGCGCGCTTGGCGGGTGGACGCGGGATGGCATTGGAGATCCAAGCGTAGATCGTGCCATTCTGGGCGAAGACGAAGTTCATCAGGAAGAAGGAGAAGTAGCGCGGTCCGAAGTCGTCGGTAAACATGAAGATCAGGAAGCCGATGATCGAAATGAAGACAGGGTATGCGAGGAACCAGAAGCGTTTACCGAGGTGGTCTGATAGGTAGCAGTGGCCGTAGGAGTAAAACACCATGAAGACATAGGGAGGAGCCACGAGGAGGAGCGAGATGATACGGGTGTAGCCCAAAGTTTGCGTGAGGGTCGGAAAGAAGTTTTGGAAGCCAGCGGAGCCAGTGATACCCATGTAGGCGATTGCGACTATTGAAGGTTACTGTCGAACTCTGTGGCAAAAGGAAGAGTATTGACTTACGAATGTAGGTCTTGGGGTCTGTGAAAGCAAGCTTCATGCCCTTGATCTGGCTCATGCCTCCAGCTTCATCGACATCAGCTTCGGCAGCGTCGATAGCAAGACGTCTGACGGCCACACGCTTCATCTCCGGCGTCAGACCTTTCCAGGTCTCTGGGAAGTCGGGTAGAATGAAGATTGCTGCAAGACCAACGGCCATCGTGATGGCGCCTTCAATAATATAGAGCCTGGATCGACAACGTTAGTCGGCTGACACAATTGCTACTGCGCACAAGCTTACCATTTCCAAGCAGCCAACCCAAGACTTCCGTCCAGCCCGCTCAAAATGCCTGCTGCGATGAGGGTACCGAATGCGCCAGAAACCAGCGAACCAGCGTAGAAAATAGCGTTGCGTTTTGCCAGCTCTTCCTTCGTATACCATTTACTCAGGTAGAATAACGCACCAGGAAAGAACGGTGCTTCTACAATTCCGAGGATGAAGCGCGCTGCTACGATTCCTGAGTAGTTGTGCACTTGAGACGTTACGCACGAGACCAAGCCCCAAGCGACAGTGGCGCAGCCAAGATATAACGACGGTCGACCGACCCAGTTGAGGATGATGTTAGAGGGTACCTGCATCAGGATGTAACTTCATCACTGTCAGCTAATGCTATGGGAAACAGAAAACCAGGGACGACGTACCCAACAAATAAGATCGAAAGACCAGTTTGGTACTGGTCGCCATTAAGGCCCAAGTCCTCCTCCAGACCCTGTAGACGCGCTGCGGCGTAGTTGTTTCTAATGTTGATTAGCATTGCGCCCCTCACATGCAGCGGTTCTGCGTACCTGTCGATGTAGTTCATCAAGTAAATGGTAATGAGGACCGGCATGATTCGCATGTCAATCTTCCTCCTCAACTTCTTCTCGATCTCAAGCTCCTCCGCGGATAGATGGCCATGATGCAAAGCCTCTTCGCGCACTGCTTCGAGATGCTCCGGATCGTTGAATCCTTGGCCCATCACATCGTGGTCCTTGTAGTCCATTTCTGTGGCCATGGCGACGTTAATGATCCTTCAGAAATGAAAGACTGCAGGTGACAAGCAGTCGGGCGTAGCCGCGGGAGGATGCTTGCCAAAGCTTTATATACAGATAAGATTACCGCTAAACTCTGGGGTAGAGTCTGGGGTAGCACTAAGCACATGTTGATGACGGAGATGGCGGCCAGGATAGCCGGCTGATTGGTCAACCCCGCTCAGAGCTTCGCAACGAGCACAACGAATGCTCGCCCAAGCCTGACGCACGTCTTGGAGAAGAGCGGCAGCAGGAAAATCGGCTGATGAACAAAGGACCGATTCGCTGGATGACGTTTCATCGGTGGAAATGCCGTGTCAGCGCAGCAAACGTGATTCATCGGATGGCGTCGCATGATCAAGCATGAAGGTCCAACTTCGGCAGTTCCGTTGTGCAACGCTGATGACCAAGGAAAGTGGAGCCGGTCTGCGGGGATAGAAGTAGCATTTAAGTACGTAAATAAAGAGGATATCTCAAACCAAGGAAATTCGTAAGTTGGGCCGCTGCTGCTATTGCGCAGAAAACCAGACGCTAGGAACATATAAAAAGCCTCGAGGAGAGGGCGGTTTTGTGGTAAGGAAACGCGGGTATATGGCGAAGTCCGAAAAAGAAGCCAAAAGCCCATCTCAACACATCCAACAACACTGTGCCCAATCGATGAGAAGACATTAACTCCCTAGCTCACTGGTGGCCTTGGGGATTGTACGGAGAGTACTGCGGTGGCATGGCATAGTGCGCCTGTTGTGCATAGTCTTGAGGGTTGTACGTGTACTTCTGCTCATGAGCACTCTGTTGACTTTTACGCTTCTGTCGTTCCACATGCTCCTCTCGTGTCTCTTCCATTGTAGGTAATTCCGCTGTGAATTGCTTTTGGTCGAGTCCTGGCGAGCGGAGGTAGTCAGACGGAGCGTATGAGCTTGGGCGAGAGCTCATGGGACTTTGGTAATCGTTCGATACTTGCGACCAGCGTGCGTCTGACAGATTTGGCGAGGTCGATCCGTCGCTTGCATTCGAAAGGCGATGGCTTGGATGTAGAAGGCCTGGTGATGGCTGCGCGTGATAGTAATCTCCGGGCAGCTCCATGACGGTGTTGTTCTGGCCTAAGAGCTGACCTGGAGGAACGAATTGCTGCTGATTTGGGTGGTGTGGTTGTGTGGGTGAGCGCGCAGGTGACATAGGCATGTTGTACGGTTGCATATTTGCGTGCTGCGGAGATGGGCCTGACGATCCTGGTAACCTGCTGGACCGGTCTGCAGGATTGATCGTCTTGAGTTTGCCTTTATCCATCATGCCCTGTAACACGCCTGAGTCCAGTAGCTCGGCTTTCTTGATCAGACGCTCGACAAAGACCTTTGAGGCTGCTTTGTTTTCCTTCTTTACAAAACCGGCCATGGTCATGTTGCATTTGATTTCGATATCCTCGCGCAAGTATAGTCCCTCAGGTGGAGCCCCCAGACCTAGCTCTCTGGTTTCGGCAGGTTCATCAGGCTGGTTGCCGCAGATCTGCCACTTGTTGCGCATGTCTACACCAGCAGGCGCATAGATGTGCGTTTGCAAACCCCATGGCATATCGTGAAAGCATCCTTTGAACCTGATAGCGCCGCTGCCCAGCTTTCCAATGCCAGGTATGTACTGGATTCGTTGCGAGATCTCGTACCAGGTCGCGTAGAATTCGTCCGAGGGCGCGTCTCGTGGCGCTTTCACAGCTTCGAATCCTGTTACGAGAGGGTTCAGTTCGATGACTTCGCCATGGCTGTGTAGGATGTCGATCGCCAACTGTCGTGGGATGAAGGACGGAATAGGCGTGATGTTGGTATATGTTGTCTTTTTGCGCATCATCTTGACGGTTGCGTGCTGAGAGTTTGAGTGAGATATTACGGTGGATGAGTGTTGCGCAGAAGCGAAGGCGTCGTAGGGCAGTAATATGCTGACAGTCCCTGTACTACGGCCCTGCATATGTTAGCTATGTAAGCTCACGGCTCACAATCAGCAACGCGCGATAATGCGTCATGTGCTTGGCAGGGCATGAACTTACAGCCCGGTAAACTTGGCCAAAGATCGATGGTCGTCAGTATCGAAGACAAGAAAATGACAACTTCACGAAAGAGAGATTGCGCTTCAAGAACCCCTGGTGTTACTGCAAAACAGGTCACATCGTACAGCCGGAGGGACTTGTTCCCGCAGCGAGACCGTATTCTGGGATCATCTGTCGGTAAGCGGTCGGCGCGCGGGGCTGGAAATGTTGAAGATCAATTCGCCAAGCATCTGCCAACGCGGCTGGAGGCGCGGTTCACAGTCCATGGATGCGCCGCCGCCAATTTATTGTTTCGGTAGCGACTCATCCATCTTTTTTCTGCGCTCCTCACTGACAATCAATGGCTCGGAAGCCCAAACTCCCGGGTTAGTACAACGCGCAACAAGCCGCTGTGCAAAGAACGCGTCGAAGACTTTCTGACGCTGAGTGAAATGCCTGGGTCGGATTGCGCAAGTTCGTGGGCGATAGAATGCTGTGAGCTTGTGAGATTGCGTTGCTGATGGGTGGCGGCGTGTATTGCATGGATATCCTTACTCGATGCTGCCGTAATACCGGCGAGATCTTTGAGAGGAGCCCGACAGGCTTTTGCCGCAAGACGTGTTGAGGTAATCTAAAAGGCGGACGAAGCTGATCGAGGATCAGTGAGTATGTTGAAGCGGTCGATGGTGTTTGTGTCACTTTCGTTGTTACCACAATGAAAGCTTGAGGATGACGTAATGCGACTAAACGACCATATCCACATGCGAACACTCTTTCCTGAACATCATATCATACATACCTTTACTCGTGCAGCAAGACGCCAACTCGACGTAGCCCAACACTTCGAACGGACGTGGTGAAGATGTGTGGCTGCCCGATCAGGAACAGGCAATTGCAGCCGCCTCAACCTAAACAAGGTTGCTGACCACAGGAAGCTGAACACCAAGCCTCAGCTTTCCCATCATCATTTTGCGGCAGAGTCACAAACATTATGCAATTGCATAAGCACCAGTCGAACAACGGCCCTAGCTCCACCCATTTGAACGTATGATGGCTCTGAACGATTGGAATCTTTTGCACGGGGATGCACATGAGAACACTGCGAATGGTGTGGATTCGTCGTCATTCAGTCACAACCCACTCGACCACGACCAGGCGTCTATACGACTCCTTCGGATATTACCTAAGCGATCCGAGTTTGGACTCATACAGTGCGAGCTGATACATGCCACGGTGGACGCTTCGTATACTTGCCTGTCGTACGTCTGGGGACCAGCTGCTAGACAGCGTCTGATATTGATCAACGGCAAGCTGTTCAAAGTACGAGAAAATCTCTGGCAGTTCCTCTCTGCGACTTGTCAAGCTTACCAACAACTCTCATCGATATGGTATTGGATAGATGCTTTGTGCATCAATCAGGAGAATACCGTGGAAAGAAATCACCAAGTGGCGCAGATGGGAACCATCTACCGTGGCGCACAAAGTATGTTGATCTGGATGGGCATTGACGAATCTACTACCCGTCTACTGAAAGTTGCGCTCGAGGCTTGGCGGCTCATGGCAAGGTGCAACACTTTTTCGCAATTCCAGGATGCCGGAACTCAAAACACAGATATTTGTAACCTACAAGTTGCGAAAGATCTTTTGGGGTTTATGCTTCACGTCTATTGGACTCGAGCTTGGATCACGCAAGAAGTGCTTCTCGCACGTAACATACAACTCTTGACAGACAGGGCTTCCGTTGAAAGCGAGCAGCTTCGACCCATATGCTATCTGAGGCAAGTCCTTACCTCTACATTCCCGGTCACCTGTTTAGTCGGCGAAAATGCTTTACTCGGCGCAAGATCACTGAAGTATCTCGAAGAGATGTTCTCGCCCCGTCAACACGAAGAGCGCAAAGTAATCCAGCTTCTCGATGATTTTCCAGGTAGAGCTTGTGAGATCCCTCGAGACCGAATCCACTCACTTGGCTTTCTGGCATGCGACGGAGCCCTGGTCCCAGTGAACTACGCCATGTGCGACCGCGAGTTCTTTTATAGCTTGTTAAGAGCGCTGAAGGCCTCCATTACCTGCCTTTGCTCGATAGCTACCGTGGCTAACGCTCTCAACTACTCCGTACAAGCCAACGAGAAGGGCCACTCTTGCCCGACTTTCCGGCTGACTATGGAAGTGACTAACCTCGCAGACCTGCCAGCGACGCAACGTCTCAGTATCCGCGCTCTTTGGCACAGAACGCGTCTCGCCACAGCATCTCACTGCTGGGATTGCGGGACATCTGTCAGCCACGAAGGTAGCAGGTACTTATGTCTCAAGAGGTATTGCTCTATGTTGAAAGGTCATCTTGTCGGCATACGCTATCGTTCTCCTCCTTCCGTATCAGAAACCCGAACATTGGCGATTAAGTTGGAGCCAAGCAAGATATATCCAATTACCAGCCGAGCTGTCAAAGTACAATACTTGAAGTCGAACCTGATCAGCATGGTACTATATGCTGACGAGCTATTCTACTTTGTCCAGACTGCTTCTACTCTGGACATAACACTGTCTAGGGCCGGCATCTGTTCGAAGATTTCAGGCGATGGAGGAACCTTGGACATATTGTAGCAGGTCACTTCGTGCTCACATAGCACATAGCGACAATGAGTATTCTGAGGCCAAGCTCCTTGCAAGGCTTCCGAGTACTCGCCAAGGCAAGCCTACATGTTTCATGCAGCTAGCCTGTGAGGTGATATGCAGCAGGGCTCAGCCTTGCAGGCAACGCTGTCGCCTACCGCTTCCAAGAGACTCCCCCTGTATTCCCATCTTCGATTCTCTAGTCACGCGAATCTGCAATTGTCGCCGGTAGCTCATCCAACCTAGCATTTCAACTAGCCATTTACCATCGCATTCCTTGCTATTATGATGGAGTTTAAACGAACTAGTACGAACATGAAAGCTTCTTCGAGAGGCAATCCAACGCCCGAGTTCAGAGATGTTCCGCTCCACAGGAATCGGTCCTCGATACGGTTTATCGAGATTCTTCTAGCCCTCTCGCAGACAGGCTTGATCCAATGCACGACGTCTCTTCATACTGTTGACAGCCAATGTCATTGCCTTTCGTATATGTGGGGCTCATCAGAAGCTAAACGCATCATACTGATCGACGGGGAAACTTTCGAGATACGAGTCAATCTGTGGAAGTTTTTGCGGGCGGCAAGGACAAACCTACGACCTCGGAGCTTCTTTTCTTGTCGCGTCCCCGCAGCGATACAAAAAGGCCGACCTTTCGGACCCTCGGGTCCCAAAGGCTATATACACCGCAACATTTCTGGATAGACGCCATTTGTATTGACCAGGACAACATTCTCGAGCGGAACTATCAAGTGGGCCAAATGGGCTTGATCTTCTCGCGCAGAGGGAGTTTTGGTATGGCTACGGTGCGAGCACCAAATCACTACCTTCTTCAGCTTCTGGAAAAACTGTCTCCTGCTCAGAAGCGCCACACGAAGACTGGGACTGGGCACGGGTTGAGATTTGCTGGAGTGCGTTTGCTACTGACGTATCCTAGAAAAGAGCTTGGATCAGGCAGGAAGTATTGTTGGCGAAGAGCTTGGCGTTGCTGACAGGTGCAATCGAGATTGTTCCTCGAGCTCTCAAGGGAACATGGTGGCTTCCAATGTATCTAACCGGAAAAAAAAGCGGATGCTTAAAGGGAAATCGATGGGACGTTGATTGTCAAGTATCTCAGCATGTTGGACAGAGGCTTTACGGCGCGAATCCTCTGGTCAAGCTTGTCGGTGGTTTTCCTGGGCATATAAGCCAGATTCCACAGGACCAAATCTACAGCTTGTTGTCTCTAGCAGACATCGCGCACAAACTGCCAGTAGATTACCGCGTACCAGCCGAGGAGTTCTCCCTTCAACTGATTGAGACTCTGCACCGAACGTTGTGTCTGTACTCATTGGAGTGCTTGGCAAATGCGATGCCATCTGCTTGCAAGATATGTACCATTCGCTGAGGTTCTACATCCGTGGCCTCGATCGCCGTGTAAAAATATAAGCTCCGCTGGAATACGAAAATGTTCTCAGACAACAAAAGTCAGAGTCCCGTCATTCACTGATCGATAGATGCCCGTACAGTGTATCCACCGTCAATTCTCGTCCAGGGCAGCTTTTCTGCTTGAGATGAGGCCGTAAGCTCTACATAGACTGGCTACTCCCCGCATGTGCTAGACGCCGTGTCTATATCCTGACTACCAGTAGTACCATACTACTATCTGCATGCAAGTTTGCAAAGCTTGTATGCATCGTGCTTATTATTGTGTTCGTACACAAGTCTACAGCCAACACTCGGACTACGCAGCCAGTGTCACGTCCCTAGATCGAGGCTCTCTAAACGCCACAGGTTCAGCGTCGCTGTAGAAGACTCAGTGTCAGGATGGCTAGGCCTGAGGACTTGTGTCTGTGCTTGAACGCATGCTTCCATTAGCGATATAGCCTCCTGCTTGCGACCTTGCGACCTGAGCGTGAACGCGAGGTTGGCCATTGCCGTCAGCGTGTCTGGATGGTCATCTCCAAGCATCTTCTTCCTTGTCTCCATCACCCGTATTTCTAGGGTTTCGGCGTCAGCAAACTGCCCTTGGCTCCATAACACCAACCCAAGCTGGCTGACGCTGGTGAGCGTGTCGGGGTGCTCGAGCCCAAGCACCTTCTCTGACCCTTCTAGATCTCGTCGATGCATCGCTTCTGCGTCCTTGTACTTGCCCTGCCTCGACAGCACCGACCCGAGCTGGCTGACACTGGTGAGCGTCTCGGGGTGCTCGAGCCCAAGCGCCTTTTCGCACCCTTCCAGCGCTCGTCGATGCATCGCTTCTGCGTCCTTGTACTTGCCCTGCCTCGACAGCACCGACCCGAGCTGGCTGACACTGGTGAGCGTGTCGGGGTGCTCGAGCCCAAGCGCCTTTTCGCACCCTTCCAGCGCTCG